AACAACCCTGAATGTAGGTCCCATTATCAACCTAATTTTACAACTGAAGAAATGAGGATGAAGTTACTTCCCCAAGATCACTCAGTTAGTGGACAAGTCAGACCTCACAGATGAGCCTGAGTCGGAAGCCTATTCCGGTAACCATCTCAGTCCTGCCTCTTAGCTCATCACTAGGTCTGCCCAGCTGTATGTGCCCCAATACTTCCTCTTCCTCACTCGAGCTACCTAGGCAGGTTGGGCACCATAAACGGCTCATCCATCTTTTTATTTCTGTTGCCCCTCTCCAGAGTACATGAAGTTCTCACAACCAGTCACCTATGCTAACCAACCAGTCCCCCTAACTAGTCTCCTGGATGAGACAGTAGTGTGTGCACACTTAAAAGTGTGCTTCCTGAGTTAGACTGTGGCAGCTTCCTGCTCCCTTCTTTTTTTCACTAAGCTATTATTTTAACAAACCATGCCAATTTTCAAAGGTTGTACAACTCAGAAAGTTGCACGTTCCAGGCAACTGCCCTGCAAGGGAATTTGTTGAGGGTCAACCCTAAAATTAGTCTAGTGTTCTTTCAGATAGTTTAGCTGTAAGGGCATCATGTCTGATTAATCCTAAGTAACAAATCCTCTCTAAAGCAACAGCAAAATGTTTTCACCATCAGTTTGGGGAAGTCATACAGTCCAGTCCAGGGATTCTGGGGCCCATCTCTACCAAATGCAGTTCCACCTATTTGTCACCTTTGATTTCCAGGCTACACTTTGTGGAGCCCTTTAGGTTCTCCTTACTTGGTGGCTAAGCCATTTCTCTGCTTTTTAGCAACATCTCACTCACTCTTCTCCTCCCTGGAATTCTGTCAAGAGTTTTATTTCTGTACCTTTTATATGTGTGTGGAGTGTTTATAGCTTTGCTCTCTTACTATTTAAACCCTGCACCGTTTCATCTATAACCTCCTCTTTGTGAGCACGGTTTCTCCAATCTTAAACACTCTCTTGCCACTATTAGGTGAAATTTCTATTGGCCTTTAAAGTCTCTAATTAAAAGGCATTTTTTTTCTTCACAAAGCCCTTACTACTTTGCCTTCCCCACCCATCAATCAAAGGAAGCCTGTCACGTGTTGAACTCCCCACTTTAGTTCTCTTATGGCCCGTTTTGCCTTTGACCCTATTGGGTAGCATCTGTACGCTCGTCTTAGCCTTCTTAACCTTAACCTTCCAAACAAGCAGCAGAGGTACTCCATCGATACTGCAAGCTGCATGAGATTTAAGGGAGGTATAAAAGGAAAAAAATGCTATTAACATCCTAAAAATGTTTAAGAGGAATAACTGAGCAAGAGAGTCAGCTAACAGTTGGTCAAACTATGCGCCAGAATGGATAATAGTTGATTATAAACTGTGATTTCAATTTACTATAAACCTTTGCCTTAGAAATGTTCCTTCGTTAATGGGATTCCCGAAAAGTTTTGCTGGCTCTAAGAAGTTGAGTGATGCCAAATAAATAATGAAACACTTGGAAAATAAATCTGAGGAATTATGGAAAACCTTAAAAAGACAACAAAATGCATAGAAAGAAAATACTTAATAGAAACAATGAGGCAAATACAAAAAAAGAAGATTGGTACCAAAAACGGGTGTCTTGTGTGTATATACTAGCAGTCTGACTCTCTGTGGAAAGAATTCTCCCCATTACTCTCTATAATTAGGTTCCATGTGTGCTGGTTAAATAGCTGCACTTACTTGCCATATGACCTCGGTCAAGGTCCTTACTATCCTAACCCTCTTTATCCCACACTAAACATTAGCTATTACACTGGGCTGTGAAGATTGAGAGAATACATGCAAAAGGCTTAGCACAGTGACTAACAGAGGAAAGCGTTTAGTAAATGTTCATGACCAAGCACACTTAGTTTGGAAACGATTTGAATGTCCATCAGTAAGGGATCAAGTAAAATCATGGTACACACATAAAATGGAATACTATACTACATAGCTGTAAAAAAGGATGAGAGCGCTTTACATACCAATATGGAAAGATCTTAAAATTTTAAGCAAGTGCAGCAGTGTTTAGAATATGAAATATTTTGTGTAAAAATGAGAAAATATTCCAAGTTGCTTGTATGTAATTGACACCAGAGATGTACTTCTGAAACATGAACAGTGGTTCTCTGGCATGTGGAGTTGGGATACAGCAGGTGGGTGAAGGGAGTTTTCATTGAATACCTTTTAAAAACTTTTGGATTCTTGAATTGTATTACCTATTCACAAAAGTTATTTTTAAAAGGCAGTTTATCTTTTGAATAAGTACGTGTGTCCAACGTGGACTGTATTTCAGACTGAAATCCACAGGAACCAGGACTTGACTTAATGACAGCTTTTTTTTTTTTTTTTTTTTAAAGATTTTTATTGGGGAATTGGGGGGATGGGAACAGTGCTGGGGAATTGGGGGAAGGGGAACAGACAAGGTGCTGTCGTTTTGTTCTTCAATCTAGTTGTGGAGGACGGTGCTTCAATGGCCCAAGTTGTCACCATCATTGCGCTCTTCCCTGGCGAGGCAGATCAGTCGCCAGCTTCTGGACGGCCGCTCACTGCGGCTGCTGGCCGCTCACGCTGGCTGCTGGCTACACATGGTAGCCCATGGCAACCCACTGCCACGGGCTGCAGCCTACGCCGTCGCCGGCGACTCACGGCAGCCCAGCTCCAGGTTGAGCTGTTGTTCAGCATCTTAGCTGTAGAGGGCAGTGTCACTGGCCCTCATATGTGGGATCCGAACCGGGGCCCTCTGGCATCCCAAGCAAGTTCTTAACCATCGCGCCACTCGGCCGGCCCTGACAGCTTTTTCTTTTAAGTGTACGGCAGGCCATTGAGTAACGCCGTTTCGGTTGTCGTTTTTGTAATATCGATGAGGTAATGTAGGAACTTAATTCGTTTTTACCAATTAGCCTATGGTAAAATTGATTTCATACCCGGTTTCACCAGAGCTCCAAGAACCTGCTGACGACGCTGAGGACTTCCCTGCAGCCTTATCAGAGGAAATGACTGCACCTACATATGTGACAGCTTGCCTTAGCCTTTCACTTTATACACAGTGCCATCCTGGACTTCTTTCTCACCAATGGAAGCATCTGCTCCTTTTCTTCCTGAAATGAGGATATACAAATGCAACTGAAGATTCACCAACATCAAGGTAGTGGAGAAAGTTAGAACTGGCTGTAATGTAATTAGAAAGCAGCATTGTCTTCATTTGTTTTGCTGCCTTGGGAGGAGGTAGTTAAAATTCTGAGTTATTCCAGTGACTGTTTTATGTACTCTGAAGAGAGTGAAAACGAGAGTGATATGCTCAATTTTCCCTTGGATAGATACTGGATTTTTTTTCTCTTTGAACTTACTACTATTTGGTCAAAATGACCCCAGAATAAAGTGCCGGATGCCCCGTGTGGTTAATACCGTGGCCGTGCTCCTGCTTCTTTGCAGCTTCGGTTTTGTGATGAAGCACATCTCATCACGATTCCTTCAGTTTACTACTTGAATCACAGTGATTAAGATCGGGACAGAAGTCACTTATCCAAAACATTCTCAGTTTAAAAATCATTTTTATTGTCATTTTATGGTTAAAAAAACATACACGGCATGACTATAAAGTAATGAGACAAGTTTCCATGTGTGGCTTGAACTACCGAGTCTCATTAGTATATAGTCACATCCTCTCTTGGGCTTGGAAGAAAAATATGTCTTGGCTATAAGATTATCAATTTTCTTACTTAAAATTTATTGAGTGCCAACAGAGCACTAGGCACATATATAACACAGAATTGTACAGTCTCTATGTTGTAGGCTATATTATTTACATAGATTTCTTAAAGATAACATTAAAGCATGTATTTACAGAACTTTAGACAAAAATAACAATACTGGAAACCAGCAAGTTTCTGTCTAGCGAGGAGCACCTTTTCATGAATGAGAGGGTTATGCAGAACGTGTGCACGCACACTTTAATTCCATTACCCAGCAAGTCCATGTTATTTCATTATAGTCCTATGAAGCTAGAAGAAGAAAAATCTAAGTGGGAAGCCATAATTGGTTTCATTAGGTCAAATACATTTAGAAAATTCTCTGCTGAGACCAATGCTTGA